TGTTCTCTTACCAGAACAAATTGTAGCACACTGGATTCTGCCTACTCCAGACCCTGCTCTGTCCCCGCAAAAATTAAGCTAGAGTTCTTAAAATCATAGGACGGTTAGGGGTGGAAAGGACCTTCAGATCATCAAGTCCCAACCCCCCGGTTATGTTTATATTTGCAGATATAGCAGTGGCTGGGTACACCTGAGTTTACTAGAATGTGATCATTCTCACTATGCAAAAGCTATTTTGCTCTCACAGACACTTCCTAGAAATGGTTCAAGAGTTAGGATGTAGCAGGCACAGCTTCCAGAGGCAGCCTGAAGCCATCTTGCAATAGAGGCTCAGAGCACAGATGAGGATCACCCTTTGTCACTCAATGTTAAAGCCAAAAGGGACATTCAGTTTACACTTGTGTAAGTGTAACCTTAGTGTCTCAGACTTACATTGCAACCATGACTCCTACAAGAGGCTGAAGAACCTTTCCTGAAGACAATGATAAAGCTTAATCTGTTGCACTTTCCATAGCCTATTTTAGTGGGTCATATAAAAAAAATCTACGCATAACCCTAATTTTTCAGCCAGTCCTGGGTCCTAAGACATAATGCTCATACTGGCCTTAACGAAACCTCAGTAAAATTATTTAATGCAGAATACATCCTGGTATTAAATGATGCAGAGATACATCAAGACCTTTAACCTACCTTATTCCCAAATATCTCCAGTCCCAGTCTGAATCCCATCTTAACCACAACTCAGTTATCCATACATGAAGCAATACAGACTGGAGACCTACCAGATATGTCAGCACTTGATTCTCACAAAGCCCTTACTTTTGCAGGTTTTAGCTGTACATCCACCTCTTCCAGCCTTCTTTCTCAGAAGGCTAAACCTACCCATAGACTGAACATTAACCTGGTAACCACCCCATCAGCAAAATTAACAGTAAGGGGCAGAACTTGACCAGAAGCATCCGTCAAGTTACCCCAGTAGGCTTTTTTCCTGCTCAGGTCCTAAGCCTATCTCTTGCCAAATAGCATTAACTCAAATTCAACTTAGTAAAAGAGCTGTATCATTCAATCTTGCAAGTACTAATCCATAGCCCCATCACATGCTCCTCATGAAGCAGCCAGCAAGGAAATAAGATCTTCAACTCATCTTGTCTCAAAACTGTCTCGAAACATAGCCCCAGCCAAAAGCATGGTCTAGTGACATTAAAATAAAAATAGGAAAGCTTTTTTTGCCCATTTTGCTAATTAATATGTCAGAGCTCATAAAGAAAGACTCATCAGCTTTTCTCCAGCACTGCATCATCTGAAAGAGCTGTGTCAGCAAGAGGCCTCAGCAGACAGTCAATACATACTAAAAGCATTCTAAGCAGTAAATCAGAACACAAAAAAAGAATTTAAGGAAAAATATAATTAAAAATAGCCACGAAGAATTGAGTACTTGATTTCAGTATTTGATACAAATCAGGTTATATTTAAGGTACAACAGTCCTGCCCTTCCTTATTGATGATATCCTCTTAGCTGCCCTGGAATTGCTTTTCTAAAAAGCTAAGAGTTCCTGAGAAACTAAGCTGAAGTTTGCTGATTTTTCACCTCTGTGAATTTTCAGGGATATTTTTTGCTTTATAAGAGGCACCACTTGTCTGCTTCTCATTCCCATATCTGGAACTAAGTTTAGGGAATGTGGACACACCATTGCTGAGCACACAGGAAGGTTTGCAGAGGACAAAGACCTCCTCAGAGGATTCAGAGAAGATGCCTTGCACACAAATACTTGAACTCTGGTCTTTTCCAGAAAAGGCCATCTAGGCTACATCAATCCAGCACGCCGGTGCTTTTGCCAGTGGTACTGTAGCACAGAAAACCAACTGTATCCTTGGCTGTATCAAAAGGAGCGTGACCAGCAGGTCAAAGGAGGTGATCCTGCCCCTTTACTCTGCTCTCGTGAGACCTCACTTGGAGTATTGTGTGCAGTTCTGGTGTCCTCAACATAAAAAGGACATGGATCTGTTGGAACAAGTCCAGAGGAGGGCCATGAGAATGATCAGGGGACTGGAGCACTTCCCGCATGAAGACAGGCTGAGAAAGTTGGGGCTGTTCAGCCTGGAGAAGCTGTGTAGAGATCTCATAGCAGCATTCCAGAATCTGAAGGGGGCCTACAATGATGCTGGAGAGAGACTCTTTATTAGTAGTGATAGGACAAGGGGTAATGGGTTAAAACTTAAACAGGGGAAGTTCATGTTAGACATAAGGAAGAAGTTCTTTACTGTGATGGTCGTGAGGCACTGGAACAAGTTGACCAAGGAAGTTGTGAATGCTCCATCCCTGGCGGTGTTCAAGGCCAGGTTGGATGTAGTCTTGGGTTGCATGGTTTAGTGTGAGGTGTCCTTGTCCATGGCAGTGGGGTTGGAACTTAATGATCTTAAGGTCCTTTCCAACCCTAACTATTCTATGATTCTATGATTGTGGGAAATATTTGCAACACTAAGAACACCCGTAAGCACTACTGCAGTGTTCCACCAAGCAGGATGAAGGACAGGCCAGCTATGAGAACCAGAAGTCACAGATGCATTTCTGTGAGGGTGAAATACAGGAACAAGTCTCCAGCCATCTTCCCACAGAACATACAAGCTCAGGATGTGTCTAGAAATGCTTCTAAAAATCAAATCACCTTTTTAAGGAAGAAAAAAATAAACCCTGCTGCAATTGTGGGTGCAACATGTAAAAAGACAGATGGGGCTACAGCTACAGATCCTTCTAATGCCTTGGTCTTCTGTAGACTTGTGATAACGCTTTTTGAAATGAATACACACTACTAACTCCTGCTGCTGCTAACACGTAATATGCGAGGGATACAGCAGCTACACATAAAGCTGAGACTATATGCTTGAAAAGCCACTGCCCCAGAAGGAACAGAAAGGATATTTCCCTAGAGAGAATTACTCAACTGCGTATTTCATAGAACAAGTCATGTTGAAGGAGAGAAGGGATAATTGCATTGATTGTTGGTAGGTGATAATTAATTCTGTAGAGAAATATGTTTAATTTCCTGAACTCTAGAATAGGATGGAAACTCTCTGTTCTGTAATGAGAAAATAATGGTGTTTTGCTCCCAGCACAAGAAGCTGCAATGTCTCCCTTAGTGTGTTCTTGGAAAAGGTACCTATAAAAAGGCAGCATAATGAATGATACCGAAACATGGGTTTGGTGATGTGACTGTATGGCAGCAAAATGTGTGTATGATATGTAATTCCAAAAAACATACAGTAAAAAGGGACCAGAGAAAAAGAATACCATGTTCTTGAATAAACATTTAAAATAAATATTTGAATGGAACAATGAGAAAGCTGAAAGTGCAGCTTGATTTCTCTTTATGAAGGGTTAGGAAACAGAACACAGAGAGGGGAGAAATATGTTTCAATAGTAATTGAACAGCACTTAAAGAACCAAGAAAAATCATTCACAATTCAACCTTCTCATAAGTTAGCTAACTCTCTTTATTCTGAAGGGGGGGGGAAATATTCCAACCTGAAGGATCTTTGTATCTATTCCTTAGGTGATCTATTGACCACTGAATTTAGTCAATGAAAAAAGATCCTAGGTACAAGTAAGAAGTCTATGAAAGGTAAGTAAAGGAAACAAGTCAAAGTTTAATAAGCATGTTTTCACACAAAATTTGTAGGTGTCTTCAAAGAGAAAACTTTCCAAAGTCACAATTTTCAAGATTCTGGAGAAGTGTGCAGAAGAAAGATCAAATGAGCGTAAAAGTGATATTATAAAGCTTAATGTACCCATAACAACCGATTGCCAAAGAGTTATGATCTCACCGGGTTTCCCTACGATATTCTTTGATAGGAGTGAATTCCAGTGATCTTTGCAAAACTTCATATTTCAACATTTGTAGTAATTTTTCTGCACAGGAAAAAGCCAAGGGCCACCCTGTAGCTTCTTCAAGTTGACAAGATCATCTGACATTTTTATATTCTTAAAGCAAAAGGTTGAATGAATTTTTTCTCTCCAGGAGTGATAATATTACAAGACATCTGCACTACTCCCGATTCAGAAGAGAATCCAAGAAGTTCACTGACACAGGAAAGATGCCAGAAAGAACGAATTTGTTTGTTAAGTTCATGAAAAGGTTTTCAGATAAGTAAAATCCACACCAGAGAACTAAAGGAGGACACCCAGTTGTACAGAGAAGGAATACTATAAACAATCAGGAATCTCATAGTTGACCTTCCTCTACATGAATTCAGCTTTTTAGTTCTATCAAAGGAGTGGAAAAAGGCAATGTGCAATCATGCTACAAAAGGGGAAGCCTGATACTTTAGGGTTTTCAAACATCAGAAGAGATTGCTGAATAACTTTTCTAGAAAGTGTAAGGTTTCTTATGTCAGCTTACCCGTGGCTTGTGAAAAATTACAATTTTATGTGACATTTCCTTGACAGTTTTTTTAATACAAGAGCTGGAAGTTGAACAGTACCATGGTGTGGTTTGCAGACCTTATTTAATAAGAAAAGTTTTAGAAGAAACAAGGTATTTCTATCGCAAAAGCCCGATGAACGGAAAAGCTGTGACGTTTGCTTTGTAAACTGTAGAATTTTTTAATGTTATCTTCAATATTCCTGGGAATGGAAGTGGAACCCAGAGCAAGAAGAAAAAGCAAGAAATACTTATATTTTTCAAAATGTGTATCATTTGTCTCCACGCTCCACAAGACACATTGTATGTGCACTTATTTAAAAGGGAGTCTTCTTCAGTTTACAACACCTGCACTGACAAATAAAGTTACAGCTCTTCTGCAAATGACTCAGCTACATGCACTGTTTGGCTGGCAAAGAACAATCCCTAATTCATCACTGTACAACTAAGAGTCAGTGCATACAAAGTAATGCCTTAATTTGCAGCTCTTTCAGTCACCACAGTTTCTGTAAGCTGACTTAATTTACTGCCCATACGATTTCCAAGTTGCTGACTTTCTTCCAAAATGGGAGAACTGCTTACCTGATTTGTGTCCGGCCAACAAACCAACTTTGCTTTCATCTGCCACTGGAGGAATAAAAGAAAAGACACAAAGATCAGAAACTTATTTAAATTCACAAGCCTTTGAAATACTGTCAAATTATTTCAGACACATCACATCCTAAATCTTTTAACTTATAATTGTTTGTAAAAAGCTTTTTTTTTTACCTAATGCACCTGGGGGTGCTTCAAAGTCCAAATATCTGAATCAAAGCCCACTGAAACCAATAAAAGGACTATCAGCAGTCCTCATGGGTTACAGATCAGGACCTCAGCACTTACACACTCAAAACTGAGTTGTCAGAAGAGCAATTGCATTTGTAAATAACTCATCTTGCCAGACAAATCACAGGGCATAGGAGAGCTGTAACATTTTCAGATCAAAGACCTCAACTGTAAAAAGAATCCAGATGTGAAAACCATCTGCAAGACATCTCACTGACTCACAGGACCCTCTCCAGACAATGAGGTCCCACAAAACCTGATCTTTTCGAAGGCTTGTGCTTTCTTCTATGTTACAATTTATTTTACCTGTAAATCGTACCTTTGTAGTATTTCACAACATCTTATAAAAGAAGATGTTTACATTAGCATCAGTTTGCAGGCAGACAAGTGGAGGAGCAAATTCTGAATGTAACAAAAATTGTAATTTTTCTTTAGCAACTGTACTTCAGTTTATTATCGTGTATCTCAAGAAAGTAATTAAAATACTCTCCCAAAAGGCTGAGGGAAGAACCAATCACCATTTCTTAAAATGAATTCCATGCAAAAAAGAAGGTGCTAATGTAATGTTAGGGATGATAAAACAAGCACAGGAAATGAATGTTAGGGTTGAAAGCTTATCCTTGAACTCTGCCTGCCCAAGCAGCCCCTTATATCATGCCTTAAAACATTATTTCTTTATATGATAAAATAAATTGTCAAGTCATACCAGAAATACCATAAATGGGAACTTAGACAAAGCTTTGCATAGTGGTCACCATAAAAGGTTTACACACAGGGTTACCTGCAGTCATACAGGAATGTGTTATTTTCCACCCACTGCAGTGATTATTGACATTTAGGAGCCACTACTAGAAAAATAATCACAGTAAATATTTTCTTATATTGTCCCTCCACTTTTAGGGAAGCTTTTCCCTCCAAAACCAGCATCAGATTGAGGACTAGGATTCACAACTGGAATCATGAATCCAAAACTGGCCATGGCATCTCTTCTCTGCCTCTGTTATCTGACTGTCATCTGATTATTGACAGAATTGACATAGTGTCGTTTTGCTGTGCGACTCTGATACTAATCAAGGAGGACTCGTACTTTGCAGCATTACGCAGAGATGCTGCAAAACAAAGCAACCATGGTGCTAGTCAAAATTAGAACTGCAATTAAAATTCAAGGCAGTTCTGTACTCCTTGTCCTTTAACCTCTCTTCTAGGTTTTTCCAGTCCCTGGAAATATCTATTTAGCTCCCTGATACACAGTTTGATCCTGTAACAGAAAAAGACCAGACTTTGCTAGAAGGATAGTTCAAACTCCTTTTCCTCCTCTCTCCTCCCAAATTTACTTTTAAGCAGAACAAACATGGAAAACTTTAGTCCCAAAGGTTAGTGTTTTGACAAGTTATGACTGTGTGAAAACAAGGGATTATAATGGAAGCTGATTTGCAACGTTAATTATAGCAGTCACTAATGGCAACCACTGTAATATATGATAATTACTTAGAGTAGGTTATGTTACAGTACATACAAGCTTTAAAAAAACAGATACCAAGGTTCACAGCATTTTTTTTTTAAACTATGCTGATGACTTGGTTTGCCTGAAACTAAGTTTTACATTATTAAAAGGGATAAATCCATTTAACTTAATCATACTTTACACACCAGCTTCACACGCAAAAATTAGATTTTAATACTGGAGGGAAAAAAGCAAGACTAAAATGATTACAAAATGAAAAATAATCTTACCAGAATACAAGGTTAGCATTATGAGTTTAAGTACACACAGAGAAAATTTGGGAAATGCAAAAATTAAAGTTTTATATCAAAGTTTGAGCAAAATATGCGTGCTCCTTCAAGGGGTAATTTTAATTTCATGGGATATTATGCTTAGGCAGTAACTTCTAGACTGGCCATCTTTCATTAGACTGAATAGGAGTGCTACAGACAAGTCCAGTGGATGAAAATCCCATTCCTTCTCTTGTTTCCTCTGGGAACAAGGAGAAGACGACAGTAAAAAAGAGAAAGGCTAACGAGAGATAACTACTTTATATGCTAAAGTTGAAAACTTTGTAGCTAAAAATTTCATTTAGGAAGCATATAGGATGTTCTGTTTCACAAAACAGCATTTGAAAACACTGCTCCGCATGACGTTAAAATTTCATGCAATCATTCAGCTATGCCAAAAATAGTATTTCCCTGGCCATCTTTCTCAGCTTCTGAAAAAAAATATGAGCTAAGTGTAAACTTCTTTTCTAAGACTCTACCACTGTTCTCTATCTTTGCAGAAAGGCACCTAAAAGATTTTAAATTGAAAAAAAAAAATAAATAATACTGTCTACTCTTAAAACTAAAGTAAAAAAACCCTAATTATTTTTATAATGCAACATCAAGAAGTAATTATATTGTAACTATGAAAACTTCAGCTCATATATGGGATATGTCAGGAAAGCGTTTATAAAAAAACTTCCATTAACTATTTTTATGCAGACACTAGAAATACGATACATTCTTGAGCTAGAATTGTTAAATCCAAAACACTAAAAAAAAAGGAAAAAAGAAATCACCTAATTTGGGGACTACAGACACAAAAACAAAAATCTGAGAAAGATCAATGCAACAGAGTAAACACATTCACCAACAAGAAGATACTTCTTAGAGTCATAAACTGAATAAATACTTCACCTTTTGATATGCCCCTGGAACTCCTGGGGATGTTACTTCATGAAGTTATTAATGTTTGTCAGTATAAAACACCCTAGCTCTTTTAAAGAAACCTCTGTAATTTAGAAACTGCATTTGCACCAGAGAAGCCAGTTACATTTTCACTGTCAGGTAGCAAAGTAATTGCTGAAATACAGGTGACAGAAGTTCAACAGCTATTTAAGAAAAGCATGTGCATTTGGGGGACTAGCAAGACCGCAGATTAGGAAAGATGGAATATTACTAGAACACACAAATCTCTCCAGCTGATAGCAATCAGTTATTTTTTCCCCCTAAACAATGCTAACAACCACAACAAATGGTAAAAAACCCCAATCCGTTATGCCATGAATACTCAGATGTATTAGAATCCCCCATCGTAATATTCTGGAGTGCTGTTTTGCTTTAAGAAAACAACAGAAGCACCCTGCAATGTATCCATGTGCTTCCACATAATCTTTTGATTGCCATTTCTGTACCCTACTCAAGATAACCAAGGTAGCCATTTTATTTGAATTGCATGATTTTCAATGGTTCAGTACATAACAAGCCTTCTGTACTGCCTCAAAGTTTACTTAAAGGTCATACTACTTCCTAGCTATGATTTACAAAAGCACAAATCTATGCTGTGGGCAATTATGCCCAGTTCAATCACTGTACTATTATATTATTTTTCCCCAAACAAGGAGTTACCACTATTCACAAGATGCAGGGTACTACTATTCAACATAGCACCTCTTTTATGAAGGATCAGTTTCACGCATGGACTAACAGCTACTTAAAACCTTCTAAATGTATGAAAGTTACTTATATTTCTACTGGACAAACTGATACGTACCTTTGAAGACCAGCTGCAGTTCTGCACTCAGGAAAGAAGTAAAAAGGATTAAAATTACAATTAAAGAGAAATAATAAAAAGAAACACTGAAACATCAAAGAATTTCCTAGAAAACAAATTTCCTGATACCTTTTTATTAGTCTATAAGAAGCCCAATATAATTTTTTTTATTATACATTGATCAATTAACAAGGGCTGTATTTCCATATAAATGATGCTTCTGTGCTTTTAAGAATGCATCAGTCTCTATGGTATATACACATGAAAATAAAGTAAAGCTCCAAATTGATCACTGTTTTTTCTGATTAACTGTGTCCTTACTCAGCCCTTTCATTACAATGAAGGCACAGCACCACTAATTAATTTTAGTCAATGACAGTGCCAATGACATAATACTCCTGCTATTTTTATTTTCTTGGTGAAGCGTTTCCCCATCTACGAGCCACATAAATCACTCGGGGAAATTGTGCCAAATGTTGGCTCACAACTATCACTTTGAAAATGCTGCTTGCTGTTCTAGGTTTGCCCTGTAGTACTGCATACAAACAGTACAGGCTTTTACACTAAAATTTACATAAGCAATAAAATGTATTAGGAAGGGTAAACTTGTGCTGTCTTAAAAGTATTTCCTTTAATAATTCCCCTTCTCTCTAGCAACAGTGAAAGTTCACATAAGGGCCCATGTCTCCTTTTCTGTGGTCACCTGGTTATCCATCAGCTACTCAGTCTGGAAGGACTGAGTCCTTGATAGATTCCTCTTCCCCTTAATATTGAAAAGCACTGAGACTAGCAAAAAGCTTGCACAAGGACCAAGGATAAATTATACTTTTGTGGTAAAAAAGATAAGCCTTTTCCAAAATGGCATGCACCACAACATTTGAGATACCCTGCTCCTCACGAAGACAGGAATAAATCACATCCAAACTAAAGATTCTGGATTCGTTTTTCACCTGCATGAGGTTTTCTCTAATTAGATTTTTCACAGGAATTTAGTTAGAATTGATTTAGTACTTGAATTCAATTGTATTCAGAGAAAATCCCCACGGGATACATCCTATGCGTCAGCACATGAGAATGTAAATGCCTAAGCTTGCATTCACTATTACTACTACTTGTTGAAGAACCAGTAGTGTTGTCCACTGGAAAGGTTTTCTTCAAGAAGAAGATAACATTGTTTCACAGTTTCCCAGTCAGTGCCCTATAAACTTCTCCACTTTCTTTTAGTGGCACAGTTACTCATTCTTGAAGGTTACATCGCTAATTGAGGCCATCACAG